AACATAGATAGAACAAATTTTTACATTTGAATATCTAATTACAGCTAAGCTGTTTTATACTAAAGTGTGATTCACCTAGTTTCTAATTGGACCTATGTACGACCTGCCAGAGCAGAAGCAGCCTCCTTGCTTCTTCTAGATCTACCTCGGATTTTGGATCCACATATCACTGGCCGGGATCTACTAGCCCGTCATGACTACCTATTCCTTCTTATAAACTTCTCCCACCTAGATCCGGGCAAAATAGTTTATCTCTTACTTTCCTATAAGGGAAAAATATATGCCGAATTTACCAAAGAAAAACAAAATTTAGAAAAGAAAGAGACAAAAACAAAAAAAAAAAACATATATGAAAAAGTATGTTCTAAATAAGATTCTATCGTAAAGGGAAAAAGATGGAAGAAGTACAAAAAGGGACAAGTGATCATGACATACATAAAAGAAATACAAATATACTATTATAACCCATGCAAGACTGATAAAAATTGTATAACAACTGCAACTATTGTATATCTCTAATATAATCTTTCCTTTCCAACTTAATATTCCTTATCGGATATCTCTTTAACCTGGAACTCGATCTTGTCACGTAGAGTAGCTCTGTATTTTCAAATAAACAAACATGTAGTTGCAATCTACTGAGTTTGTCTGAAAATGGAAAATAAACAATGCCGATCTTTCGGAGGGGGTAAGCCAAATCCCCACTTTTATGAAAAATTTTGGAAGGCTGGCAGGAAAGTGGAAGTAAGTAAGTGAGAAGTCACTTGGCCGAAAAAAAAGAGTGTGGCTTGAGAAAAACAAGTTCTTTACTGTTCCCCAGTTATTTTGCAACAGGTTACTTCATCAACAGAGAAAAACCATAATCCCCACCGAAATTTAAGCCTAACTAGTTGTATAATAAAAATCTATTATTATATATAGTATTTTGTTTAAAATATTACTAGTGAGATTTAAACTCAGTACTATAGTTAAGCTAGCTTGAAATATGACAAGCACTATTTTTTAAAAAATTATTGACAATATATTTATTAAAAAAACTCTATATATAGTCAAATCTTTATAAATGCAATCTCCATAAATACAATATCTCTCTAAATATACATTTCTGACCTAGCTGTAAGAAATCATTAGTGCTAAATGCATGTTCTATATTCTGCAAATACACATTCATTCAAAAGATTTTTTATATTATACTAACTTTCCTAAATACACGTAGCCAATCAGAATTCAGTATTCAAGTTGTATTATACAAGCCTATAAAACAAACATTAAAAGCTGCAATTTGATTGGCTTTCTTTAAATACAAACCTCCTTAAATACATGATTGAAGCTGGTTTGTACACATTGTATTTATAAAGGTTTGACTTTAAATATTTAAAAAAAAAAACTTTAAAAAAATTTTATAATAAAATACAAAAAGTAAATTCAAAATTAAATTGTAAATCTTTATAAAAACAGATAATAATAGTAGTTTAAAATATAAGTTTAATTACAAGTATATAGGTTAAACTATAATAGAAGTTAAAAACACCAAAGAGTAAATTAAAAACTATTGCTATTATTAGAGCTAAATATAAAGATATTAGGTATAGAATTAGCCAAAGAATTTAAATAAATAATCTTATAGTTAAATTGTAAATATAAGTATTTAATATAGAATCTAAATAAAATAAACTATTTAAATTAAACACCAAAAGTGTATATATAGCTAGTTGTATTTTTACTAAAGCTAAAATTGTTAATAATTTGTAAAATAATCCTTGTAATTGTATAAATTACATTAAAAGTTAATAAAAATCGCCTAATCTTTAGTATTTAATATATATATATATATATAAAATTAAGTATTATAAATTATTTATAAAAATTGTATAATAGTTATATTATAAACTAATCAAAATTGATAACTTAGTATATAAAATTTAAAAAAATTTAAACCAATTTTAAAAAAACTTTATACAATTATAGTACCTTCTTTTACAATTATCTTTTACATAATTATACTCTTTTTTATAAGCACTATTTTGTAAAAAATTATTAGCAAAATACAATATATATATAAATAAAATAATATAATCATTAATAATTTCGTGATTCTATAATTTAAATTAAATAATTTTTTGGGCTTATTAGATTTATCTGTGCTGATCGTTCTGTAGTTAAATTATCCAAAATGAATCAGTAGATTAAAAGTTAAGATAAATTATTAATAACATATATATCTATATAAATTTTGATATAAAAAATTTATTACTAAGCTATAAAAGCTTAAATCTAGTTATATTATTATATTTTAAATTTAAACTTATTAATAAAAGTTATAAATATTTTTAAAATCTTTATTTATTAATTTAAATAACAAAATATATTTTATTAATCTGTTGATTATCATATAAAATATAGCTAAATGATTTGTACTACAATCTGACATATATTTTAAACGTGTTTTTTATTATTCTTCATACAGTACTGCAGTAGCTTGTCAATACCCAATAATGAAATTAGACAACTTTTCTCTCGAAATACTTGTAAATGACAAACCACTTCCAGAGTTTAATGAAAGAGTGTCAGACGATAATGTAAATATTATAGCATTCTAATATTGCAATATTTAAACTATTTTAGCATTTATTAAAAGATTTTATTTGTTGACAAGGTTATAACTACAGGACCATCATATACTCGTAAAAAAATAGACTCTCCAGAGGAGCCAAGGTATATAACTAATAACTTGAAGTGAATTTAATAGTAATTTTTTTTTTTCAGAGAAAAAAAAAAAAATCAAAATTCATAAATTTTATTAAATTACTAGTTCTCTTACACACTACGCAGCAGTTCAAGAATTTGGCACAAGATATGCTGTAAGATTTTCCGTAACATCATCTTGTTGTATCACTGAAAGTCCAATGAAAGTTTATGTGTATGTTGACGGTAAATTCGATCATACTTACACGGAACTTAATCCAACCAAATTGAGCGAGACAAGAACATGTTTTTGGAGTAAAAACCGAGATAAAATGTACTATTTTAAATTTGACCCGACGATTTGGAGTGAAGAAAAAAATGAAATAAACGATGATGATTCTAATCAAAAACGGGGAGGATCTGGCGCAATTTCAGCGTATTTTTATCAAGCAAAACGTGTGCCAAGAAACGGAACAGGACCTCCAGATTACAATGTTGAGTCTGCCATTATTCCGGAAAATAAAGATACTAGGTCAATAAAATTGGCTACGCAATATGACGTAGTTCAAGTACCCAATCCAACAATTCCAAGATCTAATACATATTTACAAGAAAAAGGAAATCCTTTGGCAGTGCTTCATCTTCATTACCGTGCGGCCGATTTGTTGAGAGTACGAGGACATGATGTTCCATATTCCCATCCTGCTAATCATATTAATAATACGGGTCTTGAACATAATGGAGTTAAACGAGAAAGAAAGATTAAAGAAACACCAGACGATGAAGTCATCATTCTTAGTGATAGAAAACGACACAAGAAGGATGAAGTTATTGTTATTAGCTCGGATGACGATGAAGATTAATTTTGAAGGATGATATCGACATTAAATTTAGTACTTTTTTTTTGCGGCTTAAACTTTGTAAAAAAATCATCACATTACATTTATAGAAAAAAAATGTATTAAATTCTTTATCATTACATTCATACTGTACATAGATAGTCTGTATTACCGTTACAAATGTTGTTCATAAAATAAATTTTACGTATTGATATGGTTACACATAAATATCGATATACGGTACATTTGTCCAATTACAAATTTTAATTTTAGTATTTCCTAATTTGTATTAGAGTTATATTACGAGTATTGCTCTTGTCGTTATGGTCTTAGTGATTAATTGCACTTGCGTTAATGGGATTAATTGGTAAACAAGTAAATACTTGGTATTTATTACAAATAAACCAGTAAAAACTTGCATCAACTGCACAGGGACCAACTATAGTAAAATTTCTCTGATATAAAAAGGACTTCTCTCTCAACCACCGAACTTAACATTATAGGTTTTTTTTTCAATATGACAGAATACATTTTTAAAGAATCATTGATTTCAGATGATATTCAAAGAGAATTACCACAAGGTTATAAGTTAAGACCTCTCGCAAAAGATGATTTTAAAAAAGGTAGTTTTTTATGCGCTCTACTCGTTGTAATAACTAATCAAAATTCATAAAATTCATGGACAATAATAATCGTAATATTAAAGAATAAAATCGTTTTCAGAATCTGCTATAATTATGATCATGAATTAAATAAAAATGAATTGAGACTATTCGCCAGTTATTATAATAACAATTCATATATTTACATTTTTTAAACAAGTATAATAAAATAAAAATGTTTTTTTTTATAGGGGTTATTCAATGCTTGGAACAACTTTCGGTTACTGGTGAAGTAAATGAAGAAAATTTTATTGGTATGTTTTCTTAAATCAAATTTATGTTAATAAAGATTTGTGAATCAAAAAATTCATTTATTTTATAAAAGAACGATTCGAAAGAATGAAAACCGTAGGAGGATATTATATAATTGTTATTGAAAGTGATGAAAAAAAAGTTGTGGCAATTGGAACTTTATTTGTTGAGATGAAATTCATACGAGGTTGTGGAAAAGCTGGTCATATCGAGGATATTGTCGTACATGATTCTCAAAGAGGAAAGAATTTTGGAAAAAGGTATATTATTTATTTATTAATTGGAGGTGAAATTCACCGGGTGGATCGGGTATTCTAAATAAAAATGTTCAGGACCCTCGAAAACCTCACGAGAACTGAAATCGGGCCCTTATACATTATGTTATAAACTTTTCCTTTATCTTAAACTGCACCCTAACCCTAAAAATTCTTAGGCTGGTGAATTTCACCTCTGGTTAAATCTAAATTATTTCTTATTAATTTCACTTATGTATAATTTTCTTATAAAACTTTTTAATTGCACAGGATCATCGAGCAACTTAAAGATATTGGTAAAAAAGTTGAATGTTACAAGATTATCCTGGACTGTAACGAAAAGAATGTTCCTTTCTATAGGAAATGTGGTTTAGAAACTAAGGATTTGCAAATGACATATTATTATGATAAGGAAACGAAAAATCAGAATTGAGAACTGGAAAAACGCACATTTAAAGAAGAATAATTTAGAATCATATATTTATAATTTAGTCAAATATATAGAAATTTTTTAATCCTTTCCTCTTAATACACAGTATAGACATTATCAGTACTCATTATTTTTTTTACTAAATTTTAGTTTAATAAAATTATATTTGAAGTTAAATAATTTTAATAACCATTAGTTATAAAATATTATTAGAATGTCTCTTTTCTAAGTCGCTGAATCTCTTTTCATGAACTTTTATTCATCAACTTCTCCAGTATTTTTATCTTTATCCTCAGTTATAGTCGATGATATCTCTGTTACAGTTGAAGGTGCCTCAATTATAGTTGAAGAGGAATCGAATTCTATTTCTCGTCTTATCACGGTTCTATCTTTAGTTTTTCCTTTCTCTTTTGCTTTTTCTTTCTTCTTTTTCTTAATTGATTTTGTCACATCGTCTTTTTGTTCAATAGGATTATTTTCGACAACTTTTGCTGCTAAAACAGTTTGATCAAATGTTCTTTCACGTTGATGTATTTTGGCAATTTGTGCCAATTGTTGCTCCTTAAATAATTTAAGTTGGGCAACTCGTTGTTTCATATTTTTTGATCGAGATAACATTGTTACCATAGTATTACGTATATTTTGTAATTTGGTGTGATATTGAGGAAGTTTGGAAAACTATGCAAATAAAGTTGTGAATGAATAAAAAAATACTTTTTTTTTTGAAAACATATCTTTATAAAAAATGAATCAAAAAATACTTTTTTTTTTGAAAACATATCTTTATAAAATAAAAGATACTAACACTTAACGCTATATATTCATAATTTTCTTGGTTTTCCATTAATGTATTTGTATCTTTCAATTCTTCCATGAGAAGGTTTTGTTTATCCCTAGAAAAAGAAAATATTTATTTCACACAATTACAATTTGGTTGTGGAAGAGAATTAATTAGGCTTACTTTAATTCATCTAATTGTTCTTCAATTTGATTCAGTATCGGCACCCAGTGTGCCAAAAATCCTTCAGACAATAAAGGTACTGCTGTTTTCAATTTTTGTTCTAACTCCATAGTAGAACTATCAAAAGAGACTAAATAAACCGCATGAAAGCGATAGGATTTAATAAGATTGATTTACTTTCATGTGATCGATATACCTATATAATTTCGGACGGTCTACGGCAGGGACCTCATAGGAAGACATTCATATGATTGGTTAATTTTGTCGATCTACCCGTGATTGCCCGTGATAATTAACCAATCA